GATTCTGAACGGCATTAAACATGCCAACAAAAAATTCTGAAATTACACAGGTTTTGTCAGGAGTGTACTGTAGAAAAATGAGATGGAAAAGAAAAACGGATGCCAAACGGGGTCTCTATCCCAAACAAATGTCATGTATTTATAGGGTCCAAACAGAGAGTTACAATTGGGATGAAATAAGTTCTTCTATTTTAGATAAAATGTATCCATTTATCATGATAATACTAAATAATCATCAATAATTATATCATTATTTTACAACACTCCATCTTTGATTATTATTTGCACAATAACTGTCTCGCTAAAAATCTTACTTAATAAAAACTCAGTTGAAAAAAAATCAAACAAAGGAAAAAAGAGTACAATTAATTATTAATAAATTGGAGTATAGAAAAAATATTGTCTCGCTAAAACCTTGTCAAGAAAATTCAGTGGGGTAAAACTTGATCAAAAGAAAAAGAGTACAACTACTCCTCATGTGGCAAATCACTAAAGATCTCTGAGTCGATGCATTCCAATCTTGTGAACCAATTTCTTGATTGTAGATGTGGCAGTATTTTTATGAATAAATCAGTCACTTTGTCATTTGAGCAAGTTTGTTAAATATCGATATCGCCATTTTTCTGAAACTCACGTGTATTAAAGAATTTTGGAAAAATATGTTTTCTTCATATTACCTTTGAAATAGTTTCTTTTGAGTTGTGCAATACAAGCAGCATTGTCTTTATACAAAATTATTGAACTATCTTTTGTTTAAATTAATCTGTATAGTACTTGGATATGGTGGGTCATGTTCCTCAACCCTACACATTCAAAATTTCACAATGATTGAGGATGTTGTCAAGGATTGCTTCACATATCTCCATAAAGCTATTCATCTACGTGTAAAACACATATCATATTTATGATTTAGCTTTATGTGGATTGGAAAGATAACACGCATCTGTATATCCCACTAAAGCATATTCTGACTTTTGAGAATAAAGTAATCCCAAATCATACCTTTTAGGTAACGAAAAATGTGTTTAACACCATTCAAATGTCTTTGAATTGGTATAGAGCTATATCTTGTAAGGCTATTTACAGAAAAAGTTATTTCGAGTCAAGTGCAGTTTGCATGATAAGTTAGCCTAAGATATGGTACATCAAGACCATAACTTTTTTTTTCATCTTCAAGTGGATAAAATTGATCTTTTTTTACATGAAGTGATTGAACCATCATAGGTGATGGCAATGGATGTGAATTATTCATATAAAAAAGTTTTAAGATTTTTTCTATATATATAAATTAATAAACAAATAATCATTCTTAGAAATGTTCAATCTTCAACTCGAGACAAAATTTGATTTTTTTCTAAATCCTTTATTTCAAATTTATTTTTCAAATAATTTGCAGTTTTGTTGAGATTATTAAGACTTCCAATTAAATTTAAATAATCAACATAACCTGCCACAATAACAAATCTAATATTTGTTTTCTTTATGAAAACAAATGGACATATATCTTCATTTTTAAAACCCTCCTTCAACAAATATTCGCTAAGGCGATTATATTACATGCGTTCGAATTGTTTCAATTCGTATAATAATTTTTGCAATTTAATTTAGAACATGATTTTCGGGCATGTATCATTTGTTCTTGGCAATTTAAGTCTTTTGGAGACTTTCATATATATGTCAATGTCAAGTGAATCATACAAATAGACAATTGTTACATTCACAAGGCGCGTATCAAGCTTTTGTAACACAATAAAACTAATTAAGAATCTAAAAGTGATAATATTCATTATGGGGAGAATATGCTTCCTCATAATCAATTTCTGGTCTTTATGAGAAACCTTGAACGATGAGTCGGATTTTGTATCTTATAATTTCATTATTTTCATTTATTTTTCGTACAAAAACCTATTTGTAAAAATATTTTTTGTTTCTCTAAAAAATTTAATTCCGCTTGTATGGTTTTATTCCATTTTGGCCAATCATTCATATTTTGACAATGTTTAACACACTGTAGTTTATGATCCCCATTTTGCATAATATCAAGAGTCACGTTAAAGATAAAAATATTGTCTATAACAGTATTATTTCGTTCCCATAATTAATGAGACAACATATAATTTATTGAAATCTCATTATTTTCGACACATTCGTGGTTCTTCAGGAACCATATTTTCAATATTCGATTGATCAATCTTTTCTAATGTTATTTCTTCTGAGGTTTTTGGTTAATTTTTCTCATGTACTTTTTTTTCAAAGTATAGAGTTATTTGAACTAACTGATCGACCATGCTATGTTGTATTTGAGATTCATTTGCTACAACAGATTGTCTTTCACGAAACTCAAGTTTTATTAGAACATTTTTAGATGGTATATATGACTTTGTCACATTTCTTATGTCAATAAATATATCAAGTAATTGATTTGCAACTTTTTTGTAAATGAATATTTTTTCAACCCCTTGCTCATATTGATTGGTGCGGGGATCAAAGTAAGATGGAGCTATTTCATTTCAAGAAATTTTACCTTGTTTTTTAAAGATGTAGTTTTTCCTCTCCCAACGTTGGGAAAATCATTTCATCAAAATGACATTCTACAAAATGTGCAGTAAATAAATCACCCGTTAAAGATTCAAAATGCCTTATAAGTTTTCATTGGAGACCCATTTTGGTACACTGTGGGGGTGAAATAGGGACTTGGCACAATCAAAAATTCGTAGGTGAGAAATATTAGGTTCTTGACCAAATGCATATTATAAATGAAAATATTGATAATAGGCAGTTGGTCTTATACGAATGATGAGTGTTCTACACTTATGATATTTATGCTACTTAATTCGTTATTTTGTTATCATTGAGAGAGTTTTAGAACATTTTAATGTGTATTTTGATGTTATGATATAGGTTAACGAAATTGAAGGAAATAAATAAGAGTTGGCAAAATTGGAGAAAATGGCTAAATTGTAAGAGATCCAAAGTTTGGGGACTAAAGTGTAAATACTCAAAAGTTGTGTCAGACCTCAAAATGAAAATTCAAGAGTGCTTGGAGTCAATTGGATGAATAAAGAAGTCAAATGGATCAAATATAGTCAAAGTATGATCACACATCATTTTCCAACCGAAAAAGTTATGCA